TCCAGTAGTGATTTTAAGCACCCAAACCGATTACTTTTGTAGTATTTTTCCCCGTCGTTGACTTTCTTTTGCAGCAAATTATATTTTTTATTGTTTGACTTATTTGCCATTGTCTCGAAAGCTTCAAATTTTTGCACATTAAGAAGAAAGTTATGAACTCTTAATTGATATTATACAAATGTATACATGTACGTATGTGTGTACATATGAATATGTAATGATTTCTCTTTGGAACAGTCAGTAACTTCTGTGGGAATATGAATATAAATAAGTAATGTTCATACAGCATAACTATAAGCTGTGAAATGTCAGCTGTTTCGAACCAAGTGTCTGACGGATGATGAGAACTATGCCGAGCTTTGCTTAATAAGTAATGAATATAAAATATATGTATGAGAAGAGTTACCATATGTTAATGCAGCGCCACCTGAGAGCTTCCCTATTTGTTGTTTTATGCAAATCATTGTTTGAGGAAGATTTTAACCGAAGCCTACGGGAAAGGCAGAGCACACATTAGATTCATACATATGAAGCCGATGACTAGATGAAAAGGCAAAAGCAGAAAAGTGAAAAATTTCACCGCCAAAACTTGTGGCTGATAGCAATTAAATTGCTAGACAATGGCTGAAAATTTGCTTGACTGGCAGCAAGCATATGGGAGAATGCATACATATAAATATATACATATGTATGTGTGTATAAAAGTTCCATATTCATAGGTACATTTCCAGCTGCGTGCTGGCACAATTATGGCATTTATTACCAGCGTAATTTCAGGTCATTATTATTGCTTGTTTCTCATGTGCCTCTAATTTGTGCCCACAATTTTACATGGTGTATGTGTGGGTGTGTGTAGCTAATATGAGAATGGTGTTATGATGCCACAAACTGCCACTTTTTCGACAACAAACTCAAATTGCAGAGATCAGTTTTATATTGCCTCCACAAACCAAGCAGTAAGAGGAAAGGGTTGGAAAGTATCGCGCACATTTTGAGTATCCAAGCTTAGGGGTATCGTGCATGGTTCAAAACATCGCTTAATCACCTCAAATATAGACAAGTTTGAGCAACGTTTATAACAAAAAAGTCACGTGACACTTTTGAATTTGATTTGTGTTGGATTTAAACAAATAGAGAACCTCTCGAGACCCCTTTTCTTGTTGCTATTACGGTGAAAGAAAACGTTCCCCAAAGAATTTGCTGCAGAGTTGGCAGTCCAGGGTCGCATATAAATCCAGATCCGTAGTTTCAACCCCTCCAATGTTGTTCTTTTGTAATTTTTTACCTCTCAACCACATCAGGTAACTCCTAGATAAAATTAGTTTTAGTTCCAAGTCATAGCGATATCGCAGGCAACCGCTAAACTGATGAGTTGGCAAAGAAAGACAACTCTGTGTCGCTATTGTTAGAGTGAGACTGGGTCGGAGACTCGCTGTTAACTTGCTATTTAGTATTTCACAAGTAGATTACAAGAAGACCAAGAAGCTTTCCGTCCTCAACAAGGATAGGATTTCTCTAATTATAAGGGACATTTGTGAAGTATCTCAGCCTGGCTATCGCGGGAGTAGGACTGTATCGGATCTGTTCAGTCACTATGCCTTGGCCACATTTGCGAGATTCTATGTTAGTGACTTTGATTGTTCAGCATAGAAAGTGGTTGTCGGTGTCATACGGAGGTATATTTATAGTTAGGAGTCACATCTACTTTGGTAATGGCTAGACTGCTACTTAACCAGAACGTAGCGACGACAGGGCTAGAAACATGAAATTCCACTTCCTGCACCCGATTCGTATTTTTTCAAGGATCTTATCCAGTTTCTTGTAACAGACACTAATACATCGTGCTAAATAGAAATTAAGGAAACATCAAGAGTTTTCAATGCTTAAGTCTTGCTTGCGATCGTTGTGTTCGCCTTTGATTAACGCCGAGTAAAGTCTTATTTGGAGTATATTATTTGAAGCTTGTTATAGAGTTTTTTCAACCAAATGAAAATTTTTAAAGATTTCTTTAATATCTGCAATCTCTCAAAGGATTTTCATGTCGAGTGAGTACGGATTAAATAGATTTTTTTTTTTAATTTATAAGTACTCAGTATAGAGCTGAGTTATTTAAGGTTTTCGCATCTCTACAACATTATCGATTTCACTCGGCTCGCGCAACTAGTCGCGTTGGAACACATAACGCGGCATACATACATGCGAGTGAGTTGATTTGTTGTCGGGTGACATTTGATGGTCAGCTGACATTGTGACAGGCTGTCACGAGTGGCGCAAATGTGACATTGTCTATTATAATGTAATTTTATACGCAACTTAAGACAAATTAAATGGAAAATTTTAATAAAAAAGAGTCATAAAACAAGTAATGGACTTTGCATTTAAAAATAAAATTATAAATAAAAAAATGTGTTTGAAAATATAAAAAGATAGGCACATATAAAAAAGTTTCGAAACTTTTATGAACCAAATTAAGCCTTTGTCAATTATAACGAATTCATATGCAATAACTCAATTAAAAAGGGAAAGGAAGCTAAGCTCGTGAAAAGGGAAAGGAAAAGCAGAAAAATTACGTAAAGCATAAACACTACATCTTCCAACACCATCACTCATACGAATGTGAACCTTCAATCCTTCTTAATTAACTACAACCAATTATACATGGCAACCCGATTAAAACATTTTTTTTAAAGGTGGAAACCTGTAACTTTTTCATTTATATGAAAATTACATAATCCTGCAACAAGTGCAGCGGCAGTTACAGATATTAACGCCCAAAATGTTGCGTTTAAAAGTTTAAACTCAAACATAATACCAAAATATACATTTGAAACTGTAAAAAAGACACAAAAGATCTCAACTTGAAAGAGAGTTGAATGGGGGGAAAACCTTGAAAACACTAAAGTGGCACATAAATTCCGCTAAAATATTTTTGTATGGGCAAAGTGAGTTGAAGAGCATAAAAATAAATACAAAGCAGAAAAACAAAACACTTGACCTTTAAATGGAGCTTTTGACTTTAGCCATGCAGTAGATAGAATGGGGGTTTCTGCTTCTTCTTTTTATTTATTAGTGAATGAAAATTAAAAAAAAAAAAGCGAAGTCTGGTTAAAATTAGTATACACGACTCTGTTTTCGATCACAAGGAAATAAGGATTCAGATGACATAAGTGGAAAAATGATTTTATTTAAGAGCAGAGTTGCCACACTGTTCGATTCAGTGGACCCAAAAGGGATACCACATAGTTCTCCTAATATGGGAACAAAGTTGAATATATCGTCGGTTTTACGCCTATCTCCTGTTGTGGGTGGGGTGAGGAAACCCGCACTAACACCACCCCAAGCCAAGGTGTCAAGGTACCGATGCTGATGGCTGAATGGTTAGCCGGTGGTTATTCAGTAGCTGATCGCGAACGGACCCCAACGATGCTTTTGCAAGATCGGAGGTAATAAATTGGTTTCTCAATTCATACCGGATTTGAGGGTGAGTGACCAACCCCTTCCGGCAGACTCGTGGGACCAACCATGAACGAAAACAAAAATAATAACAAAAACAACGACATATAACACCTCGACCAGCTTCGACAAGAACAAGGGCAAACATTACAAACGGGTCACTATAACGAAATCAAATGAGGACAATCTTCTCACCTCCAGTCGAGAGACGAAAAAGAGTACTATTGGTACCACCAGAAGAAACTGAATAACAAAAGGTACCAACGAAAATATCCAAATCCTTAATATCGAACCGTCCACCTCCAAGACGATCATGAATGCCAACCAGTACACTAACAGCCAAAGGTAAGGTACAACGTAAAAAACGAAAAAAATTTCAGAATCAAATGATTCTCTTTCATCCCGGTACTAAAGGGCAGTATTTGTACTCACAGTAGATATAGTTGAGAAATACCACAGTTTCCTGAAGAGAAAACTCGAAGAAGAAAACCGTTCACACAACGAATGATTGGAAACTGTATTGAAAAAAAATAAAGATAGGCGGAGATCGACGTCAAATTGTCAAATCCCGGGGGATCATTACCCGGAGTTAAACTCCTCGCGAACCCTTAAGGGCTACAGTAACTTCAAGTGCGCACATCACGTTTGGAGTTCCTAACGGGTAGCGTTGCTAAAATTATCGCTGTAGCAAGCCTCAAACTGAAGGTTATACCCGCTAAGAGACTTTCTGCTGCTTCTAGAGTAGTTTGGTGCAAAATGCCTGAGGTGCAGAACAAGTATGTTTCCGTATTATTTGAATGGCAGCTAATTAAAGAGGAGAAGTTAAATAAATAAAGCAGACCGATACTAGTGGCAACAAATGACAAATGAGTGGAAAACGAAAAATCAAACTTCGCAGAGGGCCCGGGGGGTCATCCCAACAAAGGCTTACAGGAAGTGTATACAATATTTAAATAAGCGATAGCATGCTTGTATTGACTCAGTAGTCCGTTTTGAAGGCGATAGTCAAGATTTATATTAAAATTACCACAACAAGGCACGTGGCTGTACTTTCGGAGATCTAACCTCGTTTGAATCGGTAAATCGGTAAATTAGATTTATAATAAAATATTTGAAACTGCAGTTCTTTGTTTCTCAGTCCGGGTCAAATTTGACCAAATTGCGTTTTCTGTAACAATAATGTGTCTGAACTTAGAATTATTTACTATACTATATCTCAATTTGAATCCAAATTTAGTTCTTTAATTCGGCTAAGAAGTACTCATATATATATATACATATGTATGTAAATGTTTTCCATAAAAAACAAAAAATTAAGTAAGAAATAAAATTTTAAAATCTTAAAGAACAATGTGGAAGTCGTCCAACATTAAACGCGAAAGCCTTATCAGATCTTGAAAACATTCTTTTGGACACTTTTCGAACTTTTAAATTGCAAGCGACGCTTTAGCGTTAATTCACTGCACATATATATATACATAATAACCTTTATATACAATGTATATAATGTACAAGAAATTGTTTGTGTATGCGTTGCGGGGACTCACCTGTGCGCAAAATGCTGTTAAAATTAATCCAATGAGTAAGTTTCGTTGTAGTTGTGCATGCTTGCTCTGTTGTTGCTGCTGCTGCTTACTGCATGACGTCGTCTGCATTGTTTGTTGCTGTTGCTCTTGCTCTTGCTGTGGTTGTTGTTGTTGCTGATTTTGCTTTTGTATTCGAAATGTGGTTTCGTTACTCGCTTTATATGCGCCAACTCCACAACTAAGAGTTGTTGGCAGCATTGTTGTTGTGGTTGTTGTTGCTGCTGCGGTTTTTGTTATTATTGTTGGTAGTGTAGCAGCACAACCGTCACTTTTATTTACTTTTGAATGGAACTGATTTTTTTAATTTTTTGCTTTTTTTTTATTTCTAGCTTTTTGCTCACTTTTGTGTTGGTTTGGCTTTTGTTATAATTAATTTCACCTTTTTACTATTTTTTCGGGTATTTATGAATTTCTTTTGTTGCGATTATTATGTGGCCAAATGCGTTTGGCAACTTTGTGCGCTTTTACTTTTTCGTATTGTTTTTATTGCCAAATAAAAGTTTTGCTGGTTTTGAATTGCAACGATGGGATGATTTCGCGGTTTTCACTTTCATTGCAATTTTAGAAAACAATTTCGAATATATTTTTTCACTTTACTGATATGTAAAATTCGTTAGACAGCTGCTGTTTGGTGGAAAAAATAAGTTGAAAATGCGTTAAAAATAAAATTTGTAAATAAGACTTGGTTTGTATCGCGTAGCAATAACTGACTGATCGAGTGGCTGAGTAATTTTTAAGCCAACACAAGCTTAAGCGCGAGCCCAACGCTCATTTGCTCTCTCCTGCCAACACTGCATTTGGATATACTGAGTTTCTATGTATGTGTGTGCGGCATTGCTATGGCTTCTCATGTAAGTCGCTCTCGCTCTCGCTCTCGGGCTCTTCAACTTCATTTTACTATTTTATTTTTGTTTTATTTGCTGCACACACACACACCCGAAAATATTTAATTTCAATTACTTTTCACTTCCATTGCAATGTTGCCACAATTTGTTGGGAAGTCACTAAAAGGCAAAAGCGCCGTTTCAAACTAAAATGAAAAGTCACAAACGAATTTAATTAAAATCACTTTTATTGACGCTCCGAAAAACGAACTGTTGGCGCTCGCACTTAGCCAGTGCAATAAATTGTTTTGAATGACGCACTAACACAAAGCGCAGCGAGAGAGATCATACTCTAAGTCACTCACTGGCCAAATGACACTTGACTTGGCTATAAACGTCAAACTGACAGTTAGGCTAGTAAATGCAAACAAAAATCACTGCTAAGCAGCAGTTAAGAGCTCTCTCTCTCTCTCCTCACTCTCTACTTCATGTACTTTATTATTTTGCTTTGTTTTTGCTCACAATTAAAATAAATGATATTCATATTGATATTTAATATTTTATATCTATACATTGCAACTGTGTATTCATATTTCTGCTTCCCTGGTATTTTTACAGTAAGCATTAACCGTTAATTGCATTGTACTCGTATTCTAATGGAAGGCATACACGCAACAATTAATTGGTTGATTGAGTTGGGCTAGAAATTGCCCTTGTCGCTACATACGACACAACTTTTAACACAATTTTGAGGCCAACTTCATTTTGAATATTCACTTCGTTGCTTAAAGATGAATTCGGAAGTTGTTGTTTTACTTATTATAAATGACGCGCTCTCTTTGACAGCCGAAATAAAATGGCGAAATCGTTTCAAATCGCACGACCAACCCAAACACTATCCAACTAACACAACCAACCTGACAAAATATCAAAAAATTTTGATTTTCATCCCATCAGTTCGCACAACTCATATAACTGCCCCATATACATACGTAACAATCAGTTGTGCAAATCGATGAAATTGGTACAATAATTGTTGCGTGTATGCCTTCCATTAGGTTATGCCTCTGTCCATTCCACGAAGAAAGCGGACAATATTTTTTAAACAAAACTAAAGTTAACGTCGAAAATGAAATGGTCTTCAATTGGCTGTAACAGAAACCTGGAGAAGCGTCTCAATCAGTTCATACCTATTTTAACATCGAATTAAAAAGTTTCTTTTCTGACTCCCACCTGGAATTAATGAAATTTTTTATTTAAAAACACAAAGAACGTAATATTCCTACTCCTGAAGTCTTATCGCGAAACGGCTGGACCGATTAGCTTGAAATTTGCAGTCGATGTTGGTCGAAGAAATCACATTTTGAATATCTAGACATAGGATATTATCTTCTATCAAAGTTCAGAAATTTTCTGAGATTTGTGGTGCTAATTTTGAGGTGATTTCATACATACTTATGTACATATGTATGGAGTATGTGGAGTACTTCAACCGAAAGCTCCGAACCCATAAGATGTCTGTAGCGACCCCTCCTAAGTTCCTGAGTCACAACACTGATTTGTACAGTTTCTTTCGGGACAGTATATGATAGAGCTTCCAGTTGAATTAAAACTGATTTAACCTCAAAATTAAAAGTCTTATATATTATGGGAGAACAACAAATCTGACAGAAGTTACTTTCTGTATACCCTAAACGGTATGGGTATGTTAAGCTTAGGAGCAAGTTGGGAGACCCTATAAAACAATTCTACAGTTTTTGAAATATCCATCTGAAATTTAGCACACGTCTTTTTCAGCTAAGGAAGCGCCAACGTCGGACCACCATAGCATATAGCTGCCATACAAACTGCCCGATCGGACGCAAGTACTTGTAAGGAAAACTTTTTCATTTCGCGATATACATATCTAAACCAAATTTGGCATGGATTACTGTTTGAGGCAATATTGCAACATCCGAAGAAATTTTTCAGATCGGATCAATATACATACATACATATAGCTGTCATACAAACTGAATGTTAAAAATCAAGTTATTGTATGGAAAACATTTTAAGATCGCACTACTATAATAAATGGCAACCCCTCAGTCCCCCTTTACCAAGAAAGGTGACTTCCAATTATTACATAAAATATTTAGTTATACAAAAATTTTATTTTTTCCACATAAAAACTTCTAAAATTTCGGTAAAACCCATTTCAAAAAAATCCCCAAATGAAAACAGAAAAATCGGAGCTTACGTGATTTGGCGCAGCAGCCAACTTGTTGTAGATATTTATAACTTGATTTTAATTTGCCCATCGAACATTTTGCGTTTGTTGCCGTTGTTAGCGTGGTTGTGTTATTTGTTGTTTTAAATAAAATTTAAAAATCTTGTCCCAAATTCAATGTTGGCGGGCAGCGGCGGGCGGGCAGCAGTCAGCCGAAGGTAAAGGCAAGCGAGCGGGCAAACACGTTTTGCCAGATACTTCATACCATAACCGCTTCTCATGAATGTTCAAAATCAAGTTCTTGTATGTGAAACACTTTAATTTGACAAAATTTGGCACAAGTTATTTCCTAAAAAAGCTCTACAAACTCCGAAGAAATGTTTAACATCGCACTACTATAATATATGACAACCCCTAGTCGTAGTATAATTAACCTTTGCGAAGTAATGTGACTTCCAATTATCACATAAAATATTATACAAAAATTTTATTTTTTCACATAAAAACTTCTAAAATTTCGGTAAAACCCATTTCAAAAAAATCCCCAAATGCAAATAAAAAAATCGGAGCTTACTTGTTTTTGCGCAGCAGCCAACTTGTTGTAGGTATTTATAACTTGATTTTAAACAATTTTTTTATTGCCAACTTTACATTTTGCCCATCGCGCATTTTGCGGTTGTTGCCGTTGTCAGCGTTGTTTTTGTTATTTGTTGTTTTAAATAAAATTTAAAAATCTTAAAATCTTATCCCAGCGGCAGGCAGCAGGCAGCCGGAGGCAAAGGCAAGCCAGATACTTCAAACCAAAACCGCTTCTCACCGGTAGGCAGGCAGCCACAAACACACACACAAGTACATCGTTAGTGAGCGCTCGTACAGCGCACAGCCACACAATAATAACACAAACAGCGAAAAGCAATTCCACTTCAAAATATGCCCCTCACTAAAACATAGCTCAGCTTACTACCAACAGTACCAGTATGGCGCACATACATACATACATATTCGCTCGTACATGGTGTCCCACTCACTCACTAATTTTACCTGCGTTTATTCMGCTCACACTTGGCCCGTCGGTTGGCAATTCGAATAAGCATATTATAATTATTTACCTATGCGCGGCGCATTGTCCGGTATAGATATGTATGTATGCCTGCATGAAATACTGCTTGTCAGTCCCTCGCAATGTTGGTTCTCGACCAAAAGCGATCATGCAAAAAACCAATTGTTGTGATGTCGATAACTGGTTTGCTCTAGCTGACTGCCTGATTGTTTAGCTGAATGATAGTGTCATTGTCTTCACGTACGTATGTATGTATGTATGTATGTATGTACCCTTCGAATAAACACTACATCGACCTTGTTTCTGTCATAGGTACTTGTTTTGACTAGCCCATATCATCATGACTGTTAAATATTGCTGGCCCTGGTAGAAATATGCATCTAGCATCTGGATTACTCATGAACACAACATACCAATCGAAGACGAAAGCCAAATTTTCTTCGACACATCTTTCTCAGTTTACTTCGTATCAAAAATCATAGTGTCATGATTACGTCAGAAATAAAACGTACCGAAAAATTTTCATAATAATATGCAAAGTTTTCCCCTTCTTTCATTCTTGAACCAACATATTTTCAAATCCATCCATTAAAATAACGAGGCGAAACTATCTCTATTTCCGTCATTTTAGACTGTATCAGGAGATGTGCTCCACAAAATGTTCTTTCATTTTCCATTTCCATATATTCCTATTAAAACAAATATTGTCTCTTCTCAAGTCGGATTTCATAGCTCTCTCTTATTTTTTTTACATTTTTTTTATTAAGAATTTACACTTAGTAGCATACATATTCTATTTAACACAAATCTGTATTATACCAGTTTAGTCTACATAAAAACGTTTTCATTCAGCGTTTACTGCAAAATAGTTGACTAAAAAATTGTTTAAAAATTGGCATGACTAATCTTCATCGAATATTATTCAGAGAAGGAGGTATAAGACAGCTACCAAGGAATTCTTACTCCGAATAAAAAAATGTTTATTTTAAATAGCTTTTCTACTAACTACCTTATTTTCTTCATCGCCTGATATAACAGGTAACCGGCTTACCATAGTAAAAAAACGTTCTTTGGCAAATTTCGTGTTTTTTTATTCAACATAGTTCCCTTGAAAGGTTATATACTTATTATAGCGACCCTCCAACTTTTCGAAGCGATTTTTTTGTACGATTTGTCCTTTTCTTCAAAATAGGCCTCAGTTTTGGCGCACCAGCGAGCATTCTTTGGAGATCTGAGCAAACAAAATTGTCGCTGGGAACCAGTTCTGGACCTTGGTTATGAATGCAGTGGATGTCGAAGAAATTCGAAGACCAATTCATGGTGTTTATACAAAAATGTTTGATATCGTTTTCGTTGACTTGTGACACGACCTTCAAATAGTCGCTGTTGATGGTCCTTCTTTTTTCAAGGTAATCAATAAAAACTATACATGATAGTCACTCAAAAAAATACGGACACCATAATCTTGCCCGATTTTTGCATTTTCCCATGCTTTGGAGCGAGCTCACTCAGATGGTTGTCGATTAGACTTCGGAGTAAAATGTTGAATGCATGTTTCAACTATTGTCACATATCGACGCGAAAATTCGGGTTTATTACGCTTGAACATCTCCAAACGCTGCTCGGAATCGTCAACGCGTCATTAATCTTGGTCAAAAGTAAGCTCGGACGGCACCCACTTTGTGCAAAGCTTTCTCATATCCA